CACACACACACACACATGCACACCCGCGCACACACACACACGAGGTGCATCAAACATCAAAGTGAGGTCTTGCAGCGAGTTGCGTCTGTGCAAACTCCCTGAAGAATAGCTTCTTGAGCCTCTGATTCAGCCTTGCCGACACTCGCAAGAATCTCGAAAGGTTGCCGTCAAAGGACGCAATTAGCTACGGTAGAAGAGGCTGGTTCATGCAACCAATGGCAACCAAGCATCACTGCTGCGTTGTCTCCCAAGGTAGAGAAGGAAAGGACCTGAGCGGCATCACAGGAGGCAACCCTTTTTGCGATTGCTCATGACATGTGCATCCACATGTCTCATGTATGTCCGTTACGGCCAAGCGCAGCGCCAGGTTAGAAGCTCGCGTCAATGCACAGAAATCCTCCAGCTTGGCAAGTGTCTGTTCAACTCTGTTCTCAATTCGATCTTCAACCGGTCCAGAGTGTACGGAGTTTCTTGTCTTCTGCTAATCGCAGCATCTTGCACGAGACGCAGAACTGCACAGGGAGTAGGAGCGATTTAGACGTTCGATGGTTGGCTGCAGTTAGACCCTAAGGATCAAGCTTATTCCACTCGTGCTGGAATGTACAGCAGGTCATGCTATTGGCAATGGCTCCTTGTGCAGTCATTCACACATTCGCACATGGAGAGCTTCGGAGACAGCAGCTGGGGGGCATGGGGGGAATGCTGTGGAACTGCAGAAACGCAGTGTGTACAGTGCCAGTTGAGCAAAGCAACGAAACAAGCTTGCATGTTGGGAGACGGTGCAGCTGCGGGTGCGCTTCGCCACTGAAGAGCGCAATCGACGTCCACGGCGGAGCGACTGGGCCAACGCCCCCTTCAAGCACTGCATTGCAAGCTTCTGAGGTTTTTTGTACGCTGCTGATTCCGCTGTTGCTGACGTTGTGGTGCAGCCGCAGCGGTTTGGGAAAGACCGCGCTGGTGGATGTGTCTTGCGGCCGTCGTACATCAAGGCCCTAATGACCCCGTCCGAGGCTTTTCATAGGGCACCAAATCGCCGTGGCAATTACTGCCTACTGCGAGCACTTTGTGGCCGTCGACTCTTCCAGGCTTGTAGTTTGCACCTTTCGAAAGCGGTGCAAGCTGAGATGGGGTGCGTGGAAACAGTGGAAACTCGAGTCGACTGGAACGACAGGTGAGGCGGCGCGAACAAGATTGCGAGCCAGAATCGGCGAGCGACCGGACGACAAAAGGCCAGATCCCCTGCGCTTTCGAGATCTCGCATTGCCTTGCGTGCTCACAAGAGTTCCGCCACATTGACATGCTACCCATCGACACCGTGGAAGTCCCAGAGCTTCAACTCGCTTCCGACCAACCAAAACCGCCGCACACTGCTTCACATCCCTGATCATAGCGTCACTCGCATGCTTCCCGCCTCTCGCAAGCTGTGAGCTTGTACGATGACCTTCCGTGTCAACATCAGCTGTTGCGAATGGGCTGAACTCCAGCTATCGCCATGCAGACAATCAGAACAGGTTTACAAACCGTCACCTCGATGCCCAGGTTGACGGCGTTGGACTTCAGCCATTCGATGCAGACATGTCTCCTCAAATGCCACAACCACATCACGTTGCAAGCAATTTCAAGCAAGTCACAGCATACAGTCAAAATTTCCCACAGTTCGCTATCTCTTATGAGGCGTAAGCTGGAGTAGGCCTAGAATGGCCTAGATGTCTGTGATTGATGACCGGGGCGCAGGTCCGGGCTTGTCACCACGAGCACTTTGGTGAAACCTGCACGATGTCGGTTAAGGTCGGTGGCGCCAGTGACACAAGTCTGAACAGAAAAGACACCAACAACCAATGCAGTGTCCAAGGAGCCCTCTTCCACCTAAGCTCACACAGTGAATTGCTTCCACTTCCACGCCGTCTCCTCATGTCGCGAAGGCCACTCAATTAGCTCCCCACGATGATTTTTCGGTACATCGTACAAGGCCTCCAGCATGGATCCGATCAGGAGACTGTGTCTGTCATGTTGTTGTTGTTGTACGATGCGAACTACTAGCGGTGAGTGTTGTACGATGCGAGCTACTAGCAGTGAGCAAACTCATGACAGGTGTAAATTCCACAATATCTGCATTGGCCATCATCAGTGGCAGTGCGCTCAGTGTCGCTTCCCGCGCATGTATGATTCCTACTGTATCTCGCTATGCATAGGGAGCGTTCGGAGATCAAGCTGGTCCACCAGATGTGCCCATCTCAGGTGACGGCGGCTGGTGCCACAGCCAATGATGCGCGTTAGCCTCGTCAGACAAGGCATGATCAACCCGGCATACCTACGAACTGAATCAGCCCGGGGCTAAACTGAGAACCTTTGTACAGCAGTTTCACCTTTGCGATTGTCAGACTGGAATGTCTTTGATCCTTGTTTCTGGTCCTGATGACTCGCGACACGTTGAATTGACGCATGGTTGCAGATGCAAGGCATGACTGTCTGGCACTGGTGGATGCACTCTTTTTGCATATACATGTATATCACGTACCTTTATGTGTGTATGTGTGCTTGTGCTGTCTCTCTGCGTGTCTCTCTGTGTGGCATTTGGTGTACGTAATGGGGTTCCAGTCTCAACCATCTGATGGATTAATAAGTTCTCTCACATGCCCTTCCTGGTCTGATGTCTGCATAATGTTGACAGAAGTTGCAGAATTATTTCACAGGCACGACATTGCGATTGAAACCTCCTGTGGCAAACTATCATGTTCAGAGGCCATTCCAAGTCTGTCCAAAGGCGTGTTGTTCTGGGTAGGCAAGCGGGCGAGCGGGCGGGCGGGTGTGTGTGGATGTCACTGTGGGTGTGGCTTCAACTATGGGTGGGTGGTGGTAGAAGTGCTGCACGGCTGTCTTCCAGCGTGCGCACGTGTGGAGAGTGGCTGAGCGTGTCTCATTACGTGCTTGCTTGGTTGTCCATCCGTGTGTGGCGTGATGCATCTCTGCTACACACATCGATGCAAACTCCATGGCTTGCTCAGCACTGCATGATTCAATAGCAGAGGATCCAGACCATCCACACCTTGCATCCTCTATCACCGAGAGCACCACTACACACGCGCGTGCTCCTACACGCGTTCGGGCCTTCTGACCAGGATTTCAACAGCTTGAAGGCCACGAAACCCGCAAAGCACGCTCCTAAGTTCAAACGCGGCTTATATAAGGACCTTAATTAAGGGCTTCGCTTGGCGGCCTCCATTGGTATGGGCTTGTCGGACGTGAGCTCGTGCTCGGCGAGGCCCCAAAGGTCCTCTGGACACAGCCTCTCAGCCTCTCACGCAGCTGCGAAGTGACGAGATTGACGGGCAAACCTGTCCTGGCCACGCAGGTGAATGGTTAACTCCTGCACACAAAGTGTAGCAGAGTTTGCGATTTGAGAAAGAAAGCACAGCTGCCTTCTCTGACTCTTCAGAGGGCTGTAAGAGACCTTTGAGTCGAAGAGAATATGCGCTCTCTGCATCCGTGTTCGGTTCGCTTACTTCGCAGCTGCTCGCTGGGCAGCCGGCAATGCCGGAACTCAGGGAGAAAAGCCTTGGAGTCTCACGGAGCTTTAGTCGTAGCATGCATGTCCAAACTTATGAGCCTTCGATACCCTTTGAGCATGTCGTCTTCAACTGGGCAGCGTGCTTGCTGCAGATGCTCGAGCGCCATGGTCCGGTAGTCCTTCGGTGCGGAGGCGTGTGTGCGCACCAGGATCCTGGACTAATGGAACCCAGCCTGTGCTTTGGCTCCTTTGCATCTTTCACCCTTCGGATTCGGAGACAATGCGCTTGATCCGTCTATCTCATGTGTTGCAGATCAGCCTGGAAGTTGTAGACAGGCCTTCCCAACTGGCGCTTGTCCGACCTGGATGCGTTCAGCTGTTTCGCTGGGGGCTGTCCTTCAATTCAATGCAGGTGAAGAAGCCGAAAGCAGGGTCCGGGAGCTCACAAGAGCCACATTATACCCTACATTGCCCTGCTCCGGCGTGGACCAATCGTGACCAATCCACCTCATATTCTCGAGCCTTTGCCGTCTGGAGGGGGCTGGAAAACTGGCTCCAGCACTCCACTAGAAGGTTCGTACTCGAGGGCCTCCAAGAGCAACCGCTTCCCGTAGTAAGCTTCCCAGAAACTGTGACACTACGCTCTGACAGGAGCTCTAAAGGAAGCTGCGTGCTCTGAGCTTGCCGGCTTCTCAGGGCAGAAACGGGATCCCTCCACTTTGGAGCTGCCCAGAGGCAAAACGGCCTGCCGAACAGCAGACTGGCCCAACACTGGCGGAGCTGCGGAACATGCAGCCGCCTTCCCGTCGAAAATCTCCCGCAAAGACTTGGTGTCCAACTTCAAGTTCACAACTGCATGGTTTGTGAGTTTGGCAAACAGCAATCCACCTCAGTTCGAAGTCCACATGGCGTCGGGCTGAACGGCAGCAACAGCAAGAACCAAGGTACAAATGATTGCAAATGCTGCAACTCAAAGCTGTTGCCGCTTAGGTTCGAAGAATGAAAGCCAGATTGTTTCCCAGTCTTCCCGATCCATCTGTCACCTGTGGCAAACCAGATGTCACCAAATGCATACCTCCCATGCCCTTGCCCACACAAGACTCCCCAAACTTAAACAACCCCTGCCCACCCGATTCGGCCCTCATCAGCCCACGCTGCGCTACGGTGGGGATAGCTTGAATGAAGTCGGGTGAAGGACGTGAGGGATTCGAAGGATGCCTTGAAGGGCTTCGAAAAAGGGCTTGCAAGCCCGGGAGCTCGAGGAGCTTCGGGGCGAGCCCTCGCGAGGAACGCCCTTCGTTGAGGGTTCGCTCGGAGGGTTTGCAACTTCTACATGGACAGACATGCGTTTAACATTATGAATGAAATCATGAGCTGAGCTGGATTCGAACCCGCATAGGTATAACCAGCGGAGTGACAATCCGCCCCGATTAACCACTCGGGCATCGACCCTTGAATATTATACAAAAAATATTAAATGCATCTGATTTTGCCCATAGAAATTGAATTAAAACCATAATAATTAAAATAATAATTATACAATTAGTACTTTTCACGACTGCTAATTCCATCTCTTCTTGTCCAACTATGGATGTAAAAAGCAAAACAGGACGACTTTCTAATTCAATTTTTCAGAGATATTGTGCCCTATTAGTTTATAGTAACTATGAAACATTCCTATTACTTTAATATATAAGTTGTTACTATTTCTGATTATGCTTTGATCTTATTCTTCATATCTATAATTCTTATTATGAAAGGTTAAAAACAATTGTAAACCTTGGGAAACAATATTTTCATGATGCATTAAAATATGTTTTGTCCTCAAAAATTGCTTATCTCTAATGAAATTTTCTAATTACGAACTTGAATAACTTCAATGCTTTTCTAATCATGATTATCTTATCGGAAAATTGAAAAATGAACTATATTCTTTAACACCTAATCTTTTATCAATATTTACTAAATGTATAGTTTAATATTGTTAGGGTCAGAAGGACACTCGCACCCCGGCGTTTCAGGAGTGCAGAGCTGTGAAGAAACTAGGGGGACTGCCCCGAGTACACAGTAAACGAACATCAGCCCCGAGCTTGCGCAACTGAACGATTCTCTGGCTTGTCCATGGCGTACAAAAGCAGTGGGATCCACATCATGACTCCCCTCACGAGTGAAACTAGTACGAACGCTTGCCCCCAGTTTGCATCACTCTAGCTATGGCAGCTAAGGCCCCGGCATGACACTAAGAGACACACTTTGCTATGATAGCTGATAGTTAAACTCAAAGATAGTATGGAACCGCTAGAAGAAGCATTGCCCCTGTGGGTTGCAGCCGCGGGAGAAAACAGTTGGGAAGCGCTACCATTTCTCTCTATCTCTCTGCCTCTGTCTGTTTAAGTGAAGGAGTGGCGGTGAACACCGGAAGGCCACAGACGTTTTCGACAGCAGGGAGTGTTATTTGGACTCAAATGCGAACAGTTCATAACTTGGCTCATAAGGCGACATCCGACATATGCCATTTTGACTTTTGAGGCTCACTTACATCTGTGTTGACGATGTGTGGTACACCTTCAGCGAGATCACCCCGATGCAGGTCGGTTTGATAGGTGGACGCGATGAGGATCGGGCACATTGAGTCAAGGATTGTAGTGCTTGTTCGGGTTCATGCGCTCTCCACCCAAGCCGTGAGCTATTGAGCTATTGGATTTGTTGCTTGGGGTCTGCACGCACCACCAGCACACGGGATCATCGGCCAAAGCGTTCGGGACAAGCGTTGCCTGCATATGCAAACTTCTTGCGGTAGCCGCGCTGCTGAGATTCCCCATCATGCTTGCACACCCGCAGATGCGTCCTGGACCACAGAGGCTGCTCAAGCCATCCTTGGTTCTTCCTGGGAGCGCCGTGCTCTGCTTCGTCCGTTCCGTTAGATTCATTAATCATGAGTCATCATCTTGTACGTGCGTGTATGTGTGTGTTCTAAAGTTCTAATCGACAAGTGCTGTGCAGAAAGCGACGGTTTCCAGACTTGGCCTGCATGGCGGGACCGTCCACGACCGGGCTTCCCGTCGATGTCACGGGGACTTCTGTGACGGCCACAGGGCTCCTCAGGCCGCGGGGGTATGAGGGCATTGCACGGAACACTTCTCGCTACTCCAGTGAATTCCAAGATACGATGAAGAAGCTGCAGCCTGTTGATGCCCCACACTGTTTCACTGCTCAAACACAGACGATTTAGACCGGGCATAGCACCCTCAGACTGCGCGTTGTGGAAGCTTCGGTCTTTACAAATTCCTGGAGGGCACCTGATTGGATCTGCAGCTATCGCAAGCTGTGGACAGTGAGGAAGTGGACCTTGCCCGATGCCTCCATTCTCGAGTGTGGAGGAGGCCGCGTCGACATTTAAAACGTCCTGCTCGCCGATGTTCTGTTGTAAGCTGACGCACACCTCATTCCAGGGCGGGCCCGCCGACTTCAGGTACACGTCCAAAATCGTCAGAGCATCGCCTGCCCTGCCACGACTTGCAAGGGGCTGAAGCAGCAACAAAAAGCAAAGCCAAGCAACCTTCTCAAAGGCTGAAAGCGACAGGCCTGTCCGAAATGACATAGGCGCTCAACGCCAGGATAGCAATAACTGCCTAGCCATGTAAAGAGGCTACAGATTCAGACAGCCGACTTGAACATCAGAGGTTTGCTGAGCCCAGTTGCTACAACCAGTAATCCGCAGCATGGCACCCGACCGCACCCGAAGCAGCGAATGTCCTCAATCGTCACTAGGTCATTGCTGCTCGGGAAGATTCCAAAATCCTTTCGCTCAAAAGTCGAGCATCGTGAGCTGGCTTTGTCTCACTCCGCCTGGCGCAAGCAGCCGAAGACTTTTGTGAAATGCTCGCTCTGTCTTTGAGGACCTTTGTCGCCGCTTCGAGCGTGTGGAGCTGGTCGCTCTGGAGGTCGCTCTGTCAGCGGGCAGAGGCATGCTCCTCTGTCGCCACGAGCATGGCTGGCCAGCAGCATCACCAGTGCAACATGTGTAAACCAGCCATAGCTAGACTTGTGACCGGTCCACAAGGGCATCTCACATGTGACCCGGGTTGTTTGAAGCATCTTGGCAAGCCGGGCAATCTTAAATTCATATAAATTCATGCATGGCTGGGAAAGGCGCGAGTCGATCAGTCCATGTGATCACCAGCTGTGCAAACGGAAGCTTCACGTTTCCGCGTGTGTCTCGCTCAGCATCGCAGGCATCTTCGGCCCGCGCTCAAGGGATCAAACTATGTACAAACGCTAGCTTGAGCAGCTTGCACTCTCGCTAGACTGCTAGACGAGCAGAATTGAGTGAGGCTCAACCCCCTCAGCAGGTATTGCTGGCAAAGCTTCCCAGCAACACCTGGGCTCTCCGGCGCTGTGGATCAAGGCGAAATATATGCAAACGCCCTGAACCCTTTTTTTACCCTCGCCTCGACAGGCAATAGCGCTCCAGCGACGCCAGACATCTCGAAGGGCCGCTGTCGGAGTAGATCCGGCCTGGTGTCACGTTGGTCCTTTTTGGAGTTCTCGGAGTTGGAGCAGTTCTTCGAATTACAGGCAGTAAGTTGCACTCCGGTCGCAGGGCTTTGCCAACCAAAACACCCATTTCCGTACGGCAACCGCCCTGCACTGCACAGAGCCCCTGCGCCGCTTTCTAGCAGACTGTAATTCACCTCTTCTCCGCTGCACGGCATTGAAAGAGCAGTGCTCGCGGATACGCCCCCCAGCGCTGGAAATCTTGCAGAACGCCCCTCACCTTTATACAACTGTCGCCAGGCCGTGCCGAGGCAAACGCATCCCTTCGAGCAGCTCCTTGCTCCGCTTACCCATCGACACAAGATCCCCCAGCTCGTGTAGCACAGTGTCGGTGCTGCCTGGTTGAACCAAACATTGGAAAACCTGACGATCGCATGGTGCTACTGATGCTACTGTACTGACAGGCCCAACCTGGTTGCAACTGAAACTGGAAACGAAACACCCCGACGTGGTGGATTGGGGAACTTACTGTGCCGTGTTCTGTGAGACTTTGACTCAGAATGAATTGCTGGCATTCGTGCCTGGCCAGCAAAGCTTTTCGGAAAGGACTTACTTACTTGTACAGCAGGAAGCAGAAGAGCGAGCCACCTCCACACATGTAGATATAACCTGGGATGCCAAGAAGAGTGTGGAATCTTGCCAGCCGCATAGCTGTCTCTTGTGCCACGATAGTCAGCATGTTGCAACTAGAGGCGAAAAGTGAGCATCAGGCTTGTCTCTAAGGGCTGTTGTACATGCAACTTACTGATAGCAGCTGTGAAACCTTCAGAGGCCACTGCGCCAGCGTTCGCTCTTGGGATGTTCATCGAAGGTACAGCTTCCCAACATCCGAGAGCTGGATTGAAAGCCTCGACTGAGTCCAAGTCCTCATGAAGAGTTTCCATCTGTCGAGTCTCTGTCGCTGCCATGGTATTGCTGCTTCAACCTTGCACGTCTCTCCTCGGCGTCATAGTCGTCTTTCCCACCGCATACCTGGCAGGCAGCACACTGGTGAGCTCAGCGACATATACAATGTGACTACTTACTTGTGCTGCAGGGAGTCGAGGAGTTGGATCCAATTGGCTGTCGTATTGATTATTGGAGAAGAAGCTGATGGAGCATTCTTCTGCCAGTCTTCTGCCCCTTCTCAACATATTCGTCAAGTATTCAGCAAGAACTCCTCTGCTGCCTCTTCAAGCACTCCGCCGGGGCGCATAAACCCGGCTGTTGAAGGCCACCATGGCAGCCTCAGCTCGGACCGGCGGACCGGCGGCGCCTCGCTGCGCCGCGCACCTCCGCTGCGTGCAGGCTCGCGGCGTAATACCTCGGTGTCCTCATTGGTGGTAAGCTCTCCCAGGAATGAGCAGATGGATTAAAGCCTCAAGCACCAGGGTGCACGACTTTAACCATGCATGGCACACACTGCAGCTTGCTGCAGAGAGGGGTCGTTCCATACTGTCGACTTCGTGGCCCCCGCGCACCTAGGCGAATGCCCGAAGGCTCCAGGGTCCAAGGCCTTCTGCAGCGGCTCTGACTGTCTTGCGGCCAGGTCACGTAGAGGAAGTCGCCGAGGACACAGGCAGCGATGTTGGGATCGCCATTTGCATCCCCACCCCGTGGTTCGGACATCGGAGGCAAGCTTTCCCAGCCACTCACCTCAGGCCGAATAGACCACTCCCGAAGGACAGACACACATGTCAACTACTCAAACAACACCAAGCAACACGAACTGCTGAACATTCCGAGCAGCCCGTGCGAAACGCTCGGCCGTGTCAAGTGCGCAGAAATCGTTGATTCCAGAGGTGCCTGTCTCGCCACCACACACCTTGCTGCTCGTGTCACAGGGCCGAGCTCGACGCTATCTGGAAAGGGAGGACTGGATGCGACCCGGGTGCGTAGAGGTGACCTCTCAGAGCTGCTGCCGCAGCACCTGCCCGCGCAGTGCCCATCCTGACAGCTCCAGTTCAGGACTGCGCGCGTGGCACTCGAAGTCTTCCTTGAGGCAAGGCTCGCTCCCAAAGATTCCCACTTGAAGGTCAGCCTCGCAAAGGCTCTCGAGAACACCATGTTCGGGCATGACGAAAAATATGTTGCAAACGAAGTGACGGGTCGAAGCAATCGACACCGCTCAGAAAGTTTTCGTCATCACCTCATCCATCGCCGACTGAATGCCGGTAGAAGCGCTAGGCTTGAGGAATCTTGAGGACTGAGGCCTGGACTACTGCCACCACAAACGTAGATGTGGCCCTGCACGACCAACCGACCGGATTTTGGGGCCCTTGCAAAAAGAAGCCTTCCGCCCGCTGGCCCTTGCGTCCATGCCTCCATGCAGGCGATGGCGGGCCAGTTGTTGAAGCCACGGCGAGGCGTTGGCGCCGACGGCCTCTGAGAAAGAAACACGTCCAACACATTCAAAAAACATCGATGCGAAGGGCGTCGGCCGCCACATCCACGGAGAAGTCCATCGGGACGGTTAGTCAGGGATTATTGATTTTACGTGTTCGGGTCTACGATGTAGGTCCTTTTTGTGAGTTTAGTAGCATGTTTCACAGGGGGTATGCCTATTTTTTTAGTTTGTTTTAAGCGTCTCGGATTTCGGGGACATTTTCTCAGTACCACGTATGTTGATTATCTCATTTCGGGTTGTTTCCGGTCGGCCATTCGGCCTTAGAATGCCTTAATGCAAATTGGGGACGTCCTGATGAGGGTGCCTTCCGTAGTCTGGCCATCGACTTCATCACGGAACATCCAAGACAGCGGACGGGCGATTCATCCCTTTGCCCTTGGCCTTGGCTTCGGCTTTTGCCGCTTCTGCTTTGGGAGGCCGCCCCCTTGTATGCTTGGGATTGTGCCATATTGTGCCTGTAGTCCAACATGTCCCTGATTTGCTTCTCGACATCAGGAGACATCGAAGAGAAGCGGACGAAGTAGCTTTTGGGAAAGCTCACGTCGCGGAAGTGGCGCATCACACGGGATGTTTGGATCGCAGGGCGGCCTCGGCACCATGTGAACCACGGCACCACCTGAACCACGGGTCAGGGTCCGTGGCCTTTGTCCGACCACCATCTGATACCCCCAGCGTTTCCACTCATCCTTCGAGGCAACAGTCTGGAAAGCGCACTTGTGCAGCTCAGGGAGGCTGGAGGGCTTGTCCGGCAAGCGGGCATCAATGTCGCACGCTTGGTCTCTTGCCATTCAGCAATCCTTTGCCTGCGAGTCGATTGCGGCAGAGTGAGGGCTCGTCGATCGCTGGGACGCACTCCGCAATGTACATCTCCGGGAAATTTCATAGGCCCTTGGGCGTTTGGTCCCCGCTGCCTGCCAAACGGTTCCATCTACCGCGATGGCATGTGGATAGTCTCGTTTGAGTCTCGCGTAGACATACTGCGCGACGTTCCAAGCGTGCGAGGCGCCTGTGGCATCTGGTTCTGTGCCACCTGGTGCTGAGTTCACTCCACTTGCCGCCGACGTGCTTCATTCTCCGCTCGACTTGTGCCTCCTCTCTTTCTCCGCTTCCTTCTTCTGGAGCTCGAGCTCGGCGTGGTCAGCGTCAAGTGTTGGGCGACTATTATGTTCACCGCAAGACTCGCCATTGCCGCGGTCGACGACTCGAGCTTTGCCTTCGGCGGGACAGCGGCACTACAGCCGTGACCTGAAACTCCTGTTCCTTTTCGGCAGAGCCGACCCGGGCGTCGGCCGCATCGGCCACTTCGGGCTTCAAAATGACAGCCGCACCAAGTTGTTCGCTTGCGGCTGCGACCGTCTGCTCGCTCACGGTCGAGTTTGGCAAGGCTAAAAGAGCTTGCCGCGCACCCAAGTCCGGAGATGTCCCCGTGTCTGTCGATCTGACCCTCAGTGAGCTCTTTGCCGTGCTTTGAGGAGTCCGGGCCGTAACCGACACCGCCCAGCACCTGGATCCGGAGGCCTCGCTGGATGCCTTGCATCATGCGGCTTGAGGCGCTGTTCTTTCTCTGCCGGGGCACCTAACGGCGGGTCTCTGCCACGCAGCTCCTCCTGCATGGCTTCAGGCAGGCCCCTTGCCTACCGAACACAAGAAAGTCTTGAACCTACAGTGGCCTGGTGTCGAGGGCTAGTAGTCGGAAGTGTCAAACCCCGTCCATAGCATTCTATGCCTCAGATATCCTCAGATGAAGACTTCAAACACAGCTGCTAGCTCGAATATGCTCGAATCCACGACACTGCTTCACCGACTTGAGGCGGGAGTTGTGAGCTGAGCTCAGGCAAGGCGTCAAGGCCCGAGTCAAGGAACTGACTTCGCGTGTTGGATCCGAGATCTGAAAAATCGGCCTTGCTCTGCGGATCGCAGTAGCTAGGCTGCTGGCAGGGTGGTCCACGAGGATTTCAATGCATCGAAACGTTGGATGCACATCCTCAGAAGAAAACGCAACAACAAAGAAACCCAGAATCCAAAGAAAGACGTCTGCGCTCTTTTCCCCTCTCGTCACAGAAACCAAGCTGGAGCTGAAGCTGGCCAGGGCTCGCGTGGTCGTCACTCCGTGCCCCGCAGACGTAAAGAAAGCCTCAGAGGGGTCTCTTCTTAAGGCTTCAATTTCTGATGGAACTCTGAGCCTGGGCTCTGCTCTCTTCGGTGCCAGGAAGCCGTCGTGCCCCAGCAAGGTTGGCCTCAGGGTGGAAAGCTGGATTACATGGACTCCGAAGACGACGCACTACAGAAAAAGCTGTCGAACAAAGGACCGAAGTCAAGTCCACGACAAACGAAGCGTGCGGAATGTTCGCGATGGACATAACATCGGACTTCCTAGTTGAGTACCTGATTCCTCGCAGATATACAGCAATCTATCGGCACGCATTCATGTAAGTTTGCGGTATGGCAGGTGGTGAAACCGGATGGCCGGAGATGGCGACTAGGTGCACCAAGTGCCTGCATCGCGTTTCAACTCTGTGGGTCACAGCCGGTCCAACCCCAGCGCTGCTCCACCAGAAGAAGTGAATAAGAACAAGCAAAACGCGAGATTGGAGCTGAAAACTGGACGTTGCCTTGACTTCCAGACTTCTCCCTTTGCCTGTGACAAAGCCGAAGAAAACGTGGGGGTGATGAATGGAAACGCCTGTGCCCTGACCATGACTACGTGGACTCCAGGGATGGTGATATGCACACATCTGCACATGTGCCCACTTGCAAGGCATCGCTTCCGACATCTTACGACGGCACACAGTTCGAGCACCAGTCACATCACCAGCGCCTCGCTTGAGAAACGATGTATCGACAGACCACCTAGTGGCCTGCTCACTGCAATTGCTGCAGATGCTACTAGTGATAGTGACACCAACTGAAAATGGCTTGATGACGATGTTTGAAAGGTCACAAACCAAGTCCGGTCGCACTCGTAATTTGGTTTCCATCTGGTCGTCACTAACTCGGTGGGACGGGTGTCCACGGAGTGTCTCGACTACAGATGACACCTCAATCTTGCACACACCATGCAGGTGTAGGCCGGCCGGGAGGAGAATATGGCACTACTCACAATGTCAGCAGCATCACGGAGACCCCGTTTCACCACGGTCACTTCCCTCGCCCGAGACATACCGGCAGACTCCCGAAATGCTGCCAAAACGGATAGATGCGGATAGAGTTCAATCTTTGAAAGAGGCCCTGCACATCCTTGAAAGAGGCCCTGCACTTTGGGCCCGAACATGCAGAAAGATCGAGAACCAATCGACAATGACCTTGGAAGAAGAGATCTCGTGCTTTCTGAGAAATATCCATGTCTCAGTACTCCGTGAAGCTGAATGGCTTGGGAACATCAAGTGTGCTCCACCTGTGGCGAGTAGGGTCGAAGTGCCTCGGCTGTGTGGTGCTTGCCGGCACGGGACTGATGCAGACCGAAACCGTGCATAGCGTGCTGCTGCGCAGCGCAATCTTTTCCATAGTCAGGTTCTGGTTGCAGCCTGATACGAAGACCGCCTGCGAGTCTGAGTGACCTGCAAGCAATCAAAAGTCAGAAGCCTCCATGCGAAGTCTGCAGCACTTTTAGAAGTTGGAAGAGCAACGCCAGTCCCTGCCAAGCCGCCGAAAACGGCTGCCCTGGAGGCATCACGGGATGAGTTAGACAGTTCACGAAGTCGGCAAGTGCCAGCAAGGCATAAGAAAGACCTAAGCAGCATCAAATTCGTTGGTTGCTGGCAGCAGACGCCAGCGATCTCAAGGAATACAGCCGAATGACGATACTGCTGTTGCCAGCTCATTGATTCTGAAAACGTCAGCCCTGAGTGCTTCAAGGCCACAGCCAAGTTCACTTCTGACTCACTGAAGCTGTACATCGGCTGAGTGCATGTCAGTCGAGAATGTACTGGATAAGGATGTGCTCGCCGCACAGCCTCGAATCGGCGCCGGTGAAGCGCGGCCAGGAAGGTATCTCGCCTGCGCATGCTTGTCCTCTGTCCAAAACCCTACTAGTAAGTTGCAAAGGCATGCTCCCAAAGCTCCAGAGCCTCAGGACTCCGGACCTGCAACGCACGGAGGTCGACATGGTAGGGCACAGGCACACAGTGACACGCACAACCTCGAATCATGGATGTGCCTGAAGAGGCAATCGCACAAGGTAGCAAACTCGTCTGGTCCATCCAGCTTCTCAGCAACCATGACTTAGACAGGCAGCACCACGTGCAAAGGTAACTTCCGCTGCTTCGAACTCTGATGACAGTGCAGGGCAGTTTGTCTGTGGGCTTGCAGCATAGAGGGATCTTCGTCCATCTTGTGTTCTTTAGGCGAGGTCAGAGCCAAGTTGCGGCTGCGAAGCGACGCGAAGTGTTGCGACAGAATAAGCCAAATGCGAGTACCTGTCCAATCCCTGTTCAGTCTTCGGTCCATGCACGTACATGCAGAGCACATCATCCGAGTCCCTTTTCCTTCACGGATTTCCACCCAGGACTGCGCAATGCACGTGCCGTGAGGAGGCGGCTGGCGCTGACGGGACCTGTGCGGTCAGGTTTCGTCGAGTTCACTTCGACGACAAAACTGGCCTGTCCGATGCCAACGATCTGCTTCGCTACAGGATCCACGATCGTTCCAGGTGCAACGGGGAATCGGCGCCTTGGCCACCTCCGATGTCTCGATCACAAACCGAAAATAAAAAGAATGCCTTTTGGGAGCACTCAAACAAGTCCTTTACCTCGTGCTCAGACTGGATGTGCCACAAGACGCTCACTCCTGTCATGCGACTACTTTTGACCAATATGGTGCCAAGTAGAAACACCTGCACATAACTGCACCATGCCCAAGAATAACCACCGAAAAAGTTCCAGCAAAGCACTCCCCCACCCTCCCACCATGAGCATGGGATTCATCTAATCTTTGGTGATCGTTATTGATATGCATCTGCAGTCCGATGGACGTGATGATGAGACGGAAGTTTCACCTCCCTTGGGAGTGGCGGGCGGGCTAATGCGCTGCTTTCTGGGCACTCAGCCCTTTCGCCAAAATGGCAGACGGTTGAACTTTTCCTCCGCCCGGTGACTTGCTTCCAATTGTTACACCAGAAGTGTTCAAGCCGTTAGGAAACCGAAACGCTGTGCTGACCTACGAAACCGGATGGAAAACCAGGTAGTGGAGTGGGGCTGACGCTTGCCAAATTTCTTTACTCCGTGCCCGCCTTCCTGGACCGACTCCCACTGCGCGCTCGGGGCTCCTGCGAGGCCCAAGCATGCTCGAAGACCTTAAAGCTGCTAGGCTCATGCCATGAACGATGCCACATGTGGAGCCTTTTTGCCATCCTTTCCCACGGTGAGGCTCGAGCCTCGAGCACGTGGGGCCTCCTCCACAGGTTCATGCTATGTCTAATTTCTGCGTTTTGGGTGTCATGGCTGCGTTATGTATACCTTGCGTCGCATGGGCGTCCACATGCGACATGTGCGCTGATGCAGAGTGGAAGGGAAGGTCGTCTCCTTGCTGGAGCTCGGGCTGCGTTTGCGAGGCGTGTCCTGGCGCAGCACTTTGAGGCTTGTGACAGGGTCGCGGAACTCACTTAGGACTTGTCACTCTGCATCTTGGAAATCCTTGCTGCCTGATCTGACGGAGATGCTGGTCGATCCGCCCTGGCACGTTTGACATTGTCAGTAGGCGCATCCGAATTGAGATGCTTTCTCAAAACAGGGAAGAAAGCACAGCTTCTATCAGCGTGTTCACATCTGGCTGCATCCGTGATACTGTATATCACGCACGACAACCGGACGAACAAGCATGAAAAGACCGTTTCAGTATCTCAGCAGCCGAATCGAGCAGACCTCGAAAGACTTCCACGGATCCATGCCCGGAAGCTCGAAGCTGCCGTCAGCAAAAAAATCAAAACTATGGGCAGGGTGGCTCGGCATTCGAACGGCGGAGGTAGGAAGGTCCGAAGGGGGTGTTAGGGGCTAAGCAAAGAAAGTCTTTGCCACGCTCGTGCTCATAGGCACATGCTCACGAACGTCATGTCTACGAGATCGTGAAGAAGGTTCTCATGCCGAGCTGGATCTCCAAAGTATGTTCGGCAGGTCGAGGCATCGAATCAGCGGTCTCCGTGGTGAACTTGGATCAATGCGCTTCGTGGGTGGCTTCGAGGAGGCTTGACAAGTCACTGTAGAGGCATGGTACTCCGGAAAATTTTGAATGGTACTGGCATTAGATATCTTCTGGAGTCCTTGCCGTTTACCAAACATGGCCCTCCGGACGGCGTTCGTCTCGCCGCTGCAGGTTACCAAGGCGCTCTCGAGTCAGATGAGTCAGTGAGTTCCTAGAAACACTCGGGCTTGTATGTCCCCACATACTTATGCCCGGACGGTCCTACGTCATCCACTCGGATCCAAATGGACTTGTCGGTAAGGAGGCTGTCATCGCTGTCAAGGTGGTCCGTGCACATGTGCGCATACACGAATTGGCGAATTGCTGCATTTCTCAAAACTTTTGCCCACTTTCGACAAGGACAACTGTGCGTCGTAGTTGCCATTCTACACCCTCGGATTTCCGTGCTTGGAGCGAACAGCGGTAGAGGCATCCCACGACGTCCTCACGAGGACGATGGTTGTTGGGCCAGTATGTATATGCATGACTCCTAAATGGTCCTGACTCGGCCGGAAGCTCTTGCACAAAGCAGGCTCACCGCTCGTAGGCTCGTGATGTTCGTGGGCACCCGTAGTGCTGGGCCACCACTGCATGGCAATGCTGCCAGTTCAGGATTTTCAGCACACATGTTTCCAGGAGCTTGTCGGGAGACGTGGCAGGCACCAATAGACCTGCCAAGCGCGTAGGGAACGAGTCAGGCCTCCCAGATTGGCTCACCACTGTTCAAAGGCTGTCTAGGGACACGTGAATCCCAGCTCTCTATCTCTCTCTCTCTACCTCCCTCTCTCTCTACCAGGCAGGAGCCCCAGGGTGGTTCAACCCTGAAGCTCGCGCGCGAGCGCGCACCCGCGGTCCGTCGGGTGTCTAACTCTCTCCCAGTGGGTGTTCCCACGGAGGGCTCGGCTATACAAGGAAGCAAAGAAAAGTTCCTCAGACGTGTGTTCATAGGCAAAGGGGGCGCAACTTGACATACAGCAAAACAGGTAAGGCTCCGGCCAAACTAATACAAGACTGCGTCCCCCTTCGCCCCCTCTAGGTTGAATGGCAGGGCAGAAGGAAAAAACATGCACTATTCTCCCACAGGTTTCCACAGCTTGTGTGTTGCGAGTTTACACCTTCTGGTCCCCTGAATTTGAAGGCCCCTGACTACCTGTTGAGCTACGAGGTGAGTTAAAAAGAAACAAGGATTACGGGCGCTGTGTCCCGTTGTACGAGTGGAATGGAGGGTGGCTGACGAGCCTAAAAAAGTTCACACCTGCTACTCAAAGTCCCCCTCAGACAGTACTCGGTCATTTTTGCAAAGCTGCCGCGGTTGCTATCGAGCTCCCCCGGAAAAGAGACAAAACTGCACCGAGGAGATATGGTTCTCCCCCGCTTCGCTCACCTGTTAGCTTCGCTCTTTTCTCGCACGACTTTTCGCCATGTGAGCTTGGACAAGTTGTACAGTTCTGCATGCCGCATTTGGGGTCAACTGTATTCCCCCTTTTGGGCCGTCCGGGCCGTTGGAAAAGCTTCGGTGCCTCGGTAGCGGGTCCCCCACGGGTTCACGAGGCTTCTGTGCTAGCACTCCAGCGCTTTCTCCACGATCCGATAGGCGGCCTGCTTCTCCCCACGGCCATGAATGAGCACTGGTGTCTGGTTGCTGGGCCTCTTCCTCTGCCCCCCAGTCTGGAGGAGTGTCGTCGTTGGGCTGTTCCCCGTCGTCATGGCCCAGAATGTCCCTATGCTCCTTTGTCTCAAGCTATCCTGCTGGCTCTTCCCCCGGTACAGTCTGAGCGGCAGCTCCCCGGGTGTTGTTGTCGATGAGCTGGCTGGTTGTAGAACTGCCTGGTGTTGCTGCTTCCTCCGGTTCTTGCGGATCTTCTTTCGGATTTTCCGCACTTGGCCAAGCACTTCCCCCACCTTGTGAGGAAAACGAGCTATGTAGATGCGAGCTTCCTCCGAGACTTTCGGCACGTACTTGTCTACCAGGCGGATGTAGCGGTCCACTTTGTCCCCCAGTCGGCTCCTTCGCAAACGTCTGGCGTGGTAGGCTTCGAGGGAAGTAGCGTCCTTTTTTGAGAGGGGCTTCCCCGTTGAGAGGTCGAGGTAACGTCCGGTAGCATGGTCTTTCTCAATTACCCGGCCTATCCAAGCATCAAGGCGTTCAGGTTCGAAGAGCAGGATCCTTCCCCCACGGGTCTCAAACTGTGTCATCTCCGCGAGTGGTCTCGAGGGTGGCCGAAAGGTCGCTGCGTCCCCTCCTGTACGAGGCGGTGCTTCCTGTTGTGGATCCCCCTGCACAGGGCGGCTGCGAGGTCCATCCCCTCCTGTGCGAGGCGGTGCTTCCTGTTGTGGATCCCCTTGTACAGGGCGGCTGCGAGGTCCATTGCCTTTCGCTGTTGACCCATGCAGACGACATTGTGGATCTGACCGTTCGTGGGACTTTCGAAAACCGATAGTGCAAACGCCCTCCCCAAGTCTACATAGCTTACATTGTTTGTCCATTTGTTTGTCCATCCCCCCCTGTATGTAGTCTGAACTTCACGATCTCGCCCTTCCTGGCAAGTCACGAACTTCCACTGGATGGTGTCCCCCGTCCAGCGTGGTGGTTCGCCCTGGTCAGTGTGGCCGCGGAATCGAGAAGGTCGTTGGTGGAGAAGTGTGTCTCCCCCCCCGGTGGGAAGTCCGAGAAGAAGGTCTTGCAGTGTAGAACTCCCCTCCAAGGATGTAGTTGTGCGATCTTGCCCTGCTCGACTATTGCTCTCCCCCCTAAGGTTCCTGCAAGGGCCACTGAAGCCAGGTGGCAGCGGTTATGAGGCTCAAGCCTCCCTCCGCTCGATGGAACGTCCACCCGACGGGGATGCTGGGAGCAGCCAGCAACCCCGAAGGGCCGTCCTCGAGCGCCCCCCCCAAGGGAAGCGGCAGGTCGACTTGAGCCAAAATGGCTACCTCTTTCTTTCTTTCGTTAGGGTTAGGGAATGGCTACCTTTCTTTCGGAAGGGATGAAGGCAAGGGGAGCCATTCCCTCTCTCTCTCTCTCTCTACCAGGCTGGAGAGACTAGGTGCGTCCAGACCTTGGGGAGCCATTCCCTCTCTATCTCTCTCTTTCTCCGTTTTTATTTGTCTTTATATAATCTCCCAAAAGCTGGGCACCTGGATGCACTTGGGTGTTCTTGGATGTCCATGCATGTTGCTCGGGGTGTTGTTGGGAATTAGATACTGGCAGCCTGGGACCGCTGAATCCCTCAAATTCCTGGTCAAGTCGTCCAGGGAGCTCGTTTGGTAGAGGACGTCTCACGCCCTGGTTTGAATATATTGCGAGCGCTCCTTGGCAGAAGTGGCATTCGTCCGGATGACGGTACTCTTGCGAAGCCGTATGTGGAGTGGCAAACATCCCAGAGGACATGGACTGCAGAAGCACACAACCATACACAACCCCGTGATGCCCCGTGCTCGTTACGGTCTGTCTCAAACTCCATTGCCTTCATCACGACAGAGGTCACACTTGTATACCGGCATGCAAACACGGTAGAGGGTTGAGCTGGCCGGCTGATGCGGCACAACCCTCATGACAGTCTCGAGGCTGGGAAGACGGCTGCGAGCAGTGTGGCATTGTGCTGACACGATTGAAAGCGGAGGCACCTGAGAGGGGTTCAGCAAGACGTGGCTGTTGCGCTGCTCTGCACGACCGTCCTTCACCAGATGTGCCCATCGGTGTGATGCAGGCTGATAGGAGGATGTGGCTGCCAGCCGAGCCACGCTCGCCGCAGAAACTCTGCTTGATCTGCTTTGCTTGTGGCTGGCCGCGGCTTCCTGGGAAGCACTTTCGACAGGGAGAACGGACGCCAACTTGCGCTGAGGTAATCAGCCTGCTTCTCCACCGACGAGATCTTCCACTCCTGATCGAATGAGCCAGCAGGGCGTCGATGCGCAAGCCGCGGTGCGAAGCACTTCCAGAAACAGCCTGCCTGTACAACGTTGTCCACCTCAGCGAAGACGGACGAGCGGATGACAAATTGATCGGAAACGCGAAACACTCCTAACACGGGCCTTGTCGCTGATTAATGCCTTCTTCCATCGCTTAGCTGCCTCTCTGGCACCAGGCACCAGTCAACCGAGCCAGTTGCAGGAAAGAACGAATGCAGTGCCAGTCAGAAGATGTCAGAAGACTCTCGCATGAATCAATCCGTGCCTGACTCGACTTTTTTTGCCTCTGAGCTGAGGGCAAAACACTAGCACTCATGCAGCTGCTCCAGGTAATGAAAGCATGGAGTGAGTTCCCAAAGTGCTTGCCCATGCGTGTGGATTCGCGGCCGGCCCAGGCCCCGCACGGCTCCGAAGACCCGGGTGCATCGGTCTGCTGCTGCATCTGCGGTGGGCACGCGACACACATCGGGTGTGGGTGCAAGCGTCGCGGCAAGCGTCGCGGCGCGCAGGGCTCTTCTCTTTTTCAGCACCCAAGCAGTCCGCGGCTTCCGGGCCAAGGTCGCTGGAAGACCAGCACCGTGGTCTTCAGCCAAGGCCTGGCTCTGCAAGGGGCCAGGCATGGCCAAGGCCAGGCTCTCAGCGGTACGCCCCCCGGCCGCTGAGACTGGCTGAGACCCCGGCAGAGTCGCTGCAGCACGAAGCTCTTCGCTTCTTTCCGGTAGGCCTTAAGGTGGGGAGGATTGAGTCCTGTTTAAAGCCTCGCTCAGGCACCCCTGCCGCACGTTTTCTCCTCAATCTAACCTCTGGCTCCAAAGTCCAACTTGCTCCCTTCATTTGCTGCGAGGGCAGCGAGGGTCAGCTTTCAATCTGCGTCGGCACTGGCAGGTTGGTCTGAGCCCAGCTGAATTCCATGAAGACGTTCGTCCACCGGCAAGCCGAGGCATGCAGAAAACTCTGGAAAGTTGCAGTTTCTAATGCTTGCTTGCTTCAGCTGCGGCAACACTGCTGCAATCTGAGGTAGCGCGAAACACCCCAACTGAACCGCACTGACCAATGCCAGCGACAACAGAAGCGCAAAGCAAAGCGCGCCGCTAATGGCGATTGCCACTTGCAGGCTTTGCTCCAGGACGCTATCCATCCCCAACTGCCATAATCCAAAGCCTTGAATCTGGTACAGCACCTCCTGCCAACTGTACCACCAAGCATAGCAAACAAGCCAGGCACCAAGCGTCTGCAGTCGGTTCGGAAAAACCCGCTCCGGATGCCATGTTGATCTGTCAGCGAGGTATGTCACAACGCAGGTCAGGAGGCCCGCGTAGAGAAAAGAAACCGCCAGCCCCACAGCCGGGCTCCCTGTCAGATCGGCAACCAGCTTTGTGCCGAAGTAGAACCCAGCATCGGTCACAGCATAACCTACGTCTCAGATCAGAATTGTTCACATATACAACCGGCTGCAAGCAAAATCAGACTCGGAACCACTGCCTCAGCCACAAGAAATGAACCCCTGCCTTCTGAAATCCTACATATGTGTCTTCGGCAAAGGCATGCTGCCAAGGCACTCGTGATGATGATTGCCATCATCTTCATGGCGATCAGAGCCCGCCGACGATGTGAGCCATATCGCTCGCTTGGCTCTGGCAAGCAACACAGGAAGAGAATGCCTGGAGTCAGCTCAATTGCTGCGCTCAACCCTGCAGATTCCCAGCAGCTGAGTGAGCGACCTGCCAGAAGTGTCAGAACCTGTAGCATGAAACGAGCACTACAGCTTGCATTATCTTGAGGCTCAAGAAAGAGTTGGCTGTCCAATTGCATCACGGCCACGGCTTTCACTAGGATCGGTCTGTAGCCTGGCCCAGTAGAGTCCATGTCCTCGGGCCGACCATTCATCTCGTCCTGCAAGGTCTTGAATCTGTGAAGCGGGCCGTCCCTGGCTGCATAGGCCAATGACCGAAAGGTCGTGTTGCCTAGCAGCTCGGTCGCTGGCCCTCTTGGCCGGGGCCGGGAGGGCCGTTGCATCTTGGTGAGAAAGCGGTTCCAGACCGAGTTCCAAAAGTAGCCAAGCGTAGACCACAAGGAGTTCAGCAGCACGCTTCTGACAGCGCCGCCGTAGGTGTTCTCCGGAGTTTGAGGATCTGGCATCTCCTGTATTTGCTTCTCCAAGATGGTCTGGCCTACGACAAACAGGAAGGTGATGGCGACGGCCGCTGCAATGCCGGTCGGACCAGGAGAATGAAAGTCTGAGATGTGTGGGAAGAGGAGAGCGACCAGACCGGACCAGCTCGTGCCCACCACCATCCCTGTCATGCTCATAAGGAGAAGCCGAGTCATTCGGAACGGGCGGCTCCAAAAGCGGTGCCCCTGGAGCTTGTGGCGAATCAGTGGCATGAGCGCAGTCACCACCAGTGTGTAGATGCTCCATCCCAAAATGGACTCCGAGTACTGAGGCAGCGCAAGCCTTGGCTCTCCGGCTCGCGACTGCGGCATTCGACTCTAATTGCATGGAAGCCGCTTGAAGACATAGCACCTTGGCTAACAGCATCCGGCCACGTTTCGGTAGGCCCATGTAGACCTGCAGCCTGTGAAAATGTTGCAGCCAAGGCACCAGTTCAAGGCAACAATGACCGCCAAGACCCAAGTGAATACCTGTAAGCACTAGCAGTCAGGCAGTCACTAGCATTCAAGCTACACGTGTTGCAGAAACCTGCTGGTGACTACGCTGACTCGATGACTTGACGCCATGCCACGAAGTGAAGCTTCACGAGCTTCGCAGCGCTTGCATCGTCACCCATTGCAGGTCACCGTGAATGGCCATCGGGCTACAAGAGCTACAGCCACTGCAGGACTGCGAGAGCGATCCTACAAGACTCCTGAACTGAGAGTGCAGCAGGAGCAGGCCGTCGGGTCGAGCTGACAACGCTGCGAGAAATCGTCAAGTGTGTCATCCAGCCAAGGGCTTGCACGGAGTTGTAAACTAACTCTTGGCCAGATACTCTCGAAGCCGCGCTGCTGCATGAGATCTTCTACCTTATTGCCATGCAACACTTGACAACCACAGACCACGGCCCCGCCGCCATAAAGCTAGTGACGAGAGAGAATCAGAAGTACGGTGCAACGGCCTCTTCGGATGTGCGAAGATTTACGTGGCCTTCTCCCGCCTACTGCAAGCAGGACATCCTGTGAGGTAAGAACACCAGGTATTCCTTGCGCCTGGTTGCCCCAGGACAGCACCATGCCGGAGCAAGCATGTCTCACAGCGCCACGGCCACAAAACAGAGCCCGGCATATCCCAAGTCGGACCCCGAGGCCTCTCCAGATTGTCAAGGAACGAATCCTCGAACTGTCGAGGAATGTGCTCCGCGACTTCCAAGGAAAGGACCTCGGCTGCACAAGCTGCGAGCACCTGCGAGCAGGAAGGTTTTCTGTTCTCTGGGTCTGCGAGTCTGCGACCCAGTCCCAGCGCGTTCCCAGGTCCAGGTCCTTGCTCAAATCAGCCTGCCAGGATGCCAATTGGCTCAAGGCTTGGAGTGGGCTGTTTCTGCGTTTACCAATCTCACAATGTCTCACAGTCTGGCAAACAGAATTGAGAGACACCGAGCCAGGCAGGTGGCTTTGAACCGGGCCAGACAGATACAAGCGGTAGGCTGCAGCCTTTCGGTATGCTTGCTTTTTTGGCAAGTGAGCAGTTTCCTCTGCAAGTGCTTCCGGAAATTAAGGCGAGCAGCAGCTTGGCAGCATCATCCATTCCCGATGTCACACACGCATTTCGAGGTGTACGGCATCCCACGCGCACTCCCAGCCAGAGAAATCGGAACTCTTGCTGCGGTCCGACTCTTTCTGCTGGCACATGTTCCGGCCGTCTGTTAGGAAGTACTGAGTGCCCGCCATACTGGTAGATGTGGCAGCGAAATAGTTGCGGAGGGCTATACTGGGCTGAATCATCGGCAAAACGATGCAGGCGCGATCTGTGCAAGCGAGACGAAGCGACAAGTGAGTTTAGATCCATCACTTCCATGATGGCTTGTCATTTTCTTGGTGGATTGTGCAAACGGCTCTGAGAGCCTGCTGGTCTCTGGATGGCTCCCAAGAGTGTCAGTATGCGACTTTTACCGCTCCAGCTACAGGATGTTGCAGGGTACCTGAAATGCAACGGCGCTCACAGACCAGTCAGAAGCTACGGAAAGATTGCCTTTGCTTCTCATGTGCTCTTCTAGGGATTTATAGAGAGCTGCGATGCCGTGCCTGAAGGCACCGGCCGTCCGTGATCTCCCAGGTCGCCGGATTTCCTGTCGAGACGACACAGGCGCTCGTCCCGCAAAGTTTCACGACACAGGGCTCCATCAAATCCACCAGATCGGAAGCCAACCGTCCGAAGGTCGCGAACCTGCCAAGGGGCACGTGGCCTCTTTCAGCCGGGGGCTCAAGCTCAGGGGCCGACGTAAAGCCCCAGTCCACAGCCAAAGTCAGCAACGGAAGTTGCCTTGACCGGGTTCTTCTTGTAGATCTTTTACGGATTACAAGACACGGACGAAAACGGCAGCAAAAGTGCTGTCCACCAACCCTTGCGCGAGAGGTTTGCTCCCCTGCCCTCCCGTTCGTGACATCCAAACACGACATGAACCGGACTAGGCCGAGTCCGAGTTTTCGGGCTTGAAACCACCCTCGCTCGGAGCAGCTCGAAGCCCAGGGCTGAAATTGAACCGCCTCAGAGTCCCTCAAGCTGAGACTCTCAGAGCTCGGCTTCTGAGTGTAGGATTTCTCGCGACTTAATTCCTGAACCCAAGCCCGAAGTTCGATTCCGCACCACCATTTCGAGATCTTGCTTGACCCGAACATGCTCACCCCCACACCCCTCCTCCAAGTGAGAGCTCAACTTTCAAGACGCTTCGATGTGGTTTGGCCCTGAACCCGAAAGCGCGAATTCCGCGAAGCGGCGGCATTGCCACTTCGAGGAGCTCGAATGTTCTTGCTTTGTTCAAGCCCATGCGGTGCTCGGACATTTGATCGTGTCGCATGCTCTGCCTTGGTTTAAGCAACTGTTTCGCGGCATAGCGACCTCGCCCATCCCTGCCTTGAGCTCAACCCCACTACATGCACCAGCTGGTCTGAACTCAGACGCTCGATTTCCGATTGCACGCGTGCACACACGCGCACATGTTCTAAACAGCCGCGGCCTCCCTTGACTTGAAGAACGTTATCAGCGCATCTGCGAAAGGCCTTGCACAGCAATTTGCGGATTGTTACAGTTGCTACAGATGCCGGCAAGGCTCCAATCCATGATATGCACCTGTCGTGCATGTGGTATCCGGCTGCTTCCGTGCCCACCCACCTGCATAGGAACTGCAATTCAGACTTTACCCTCCAGCAAGGCTGAGAGGCGAATGCGGAGACAGAAGGCAAGGCCGCCCATGTGTACGACTGGGTCCGGAACGCTCCACTAGGTGCGATGGACAAGTCATGCGAGGCCTCAGGTTGTTTAAACGAAAATGGCGAATTGACGAAGGGACTCTTGGATGCGCGCCATTGCAAGCTCTTGCTCGGCCTCGTGGCTTCTTCCAAGTCCTCATGTTGCAACTGCAGGTCGGTGCCGGCTCTTTCGCAGTCCTGAAGCAAGCGCTCATACTACCTCAGTAGGTTCGAGACAAGATTCGCGCGGATTGAATGAATTTAGCTGCAGCAGATCACCAGACTCACTACGGTCGTGACTGCTTTTGCAACCTCCGTTTGTTGCAAGTTTTGAGCATCAGGTATGCTCCACATCCGTTCTGACCAAAACGGGCTGAAGCGAGAACAATGATCCGCACACGGCGCCGCTCGAAGTACAAGCGTCGACCCTAGCAGCTTGCCCCGTTGAGTGTGATGACTCAGTGATGACTGAAAGGAAAGCATGTCAATGTGCCTGTGGAAGTGTGCGATCCATCCAGACCGAGATCAGCGGAGTCTCTCAGTACCGCGTCCAGTCATTGTACGTGCGCGAGCAAACACTCGGAAGCCGTGCCGAAAAGCTCCATATGCGACAAAGGTCATGGCGTGTTTATGTATCAGGGTTTTTTGTGCTCGGCCTCCGCGTTCCTGCCCAGTTTGCACTGTGCAACTGCGGCTGTACGCCACCAATGCGTGAACGGTTTCCCCACAAGCAGAACTGATGCAGCGCATCTCGAGTGGCTCTCGACCGAAAGGGAGTGTTCTGCATCTGAACACCGAGGCAAGCCATGGCCACACACTGGGAATCGGACGTCCGAGTACGACAGCAAGCAAAGCTCTTGCTGTTGGCACCGACCTGAATCGTTCCAAAAGAAACAACAGGGCAAGTCTCTGCCACACATCAGCTTCCAAACACTCTAGTAATTCTGCCTTGCTCGACAGAAAACTGTCATTGAAGTGGCCTTTCGCTTGGGTCTGCGGCTGCTAGTAAACACATTCCACAATTGTCATGCACTGCCAGGCGACGTAGATCGCTGCTCTGGGGAAAGGATTGTCTGCCGAAGATCACCTGTGCACCGGACAACCCCCGAGCTAAGAGGCGTGAGAGCCACAGCGGAACGGGTATCTGCTTCATTGCCGAGCCTTCAAACGACTCCAGGCTGGCACCGTCTGCTAGAACAGCATCGACTTTCCTTTCAAGCGCGACCTGCATGCTGGCAGCTGGGCTAAAGTACTGACGCCCACATGCCCTGCACATCTTAACACCTCATAATACCTCAGCCACAGGCAAGGAAGCCGTTGGTGAGGCTCTCGTGGCTGCCTGCCAGGCTACTGACAGCAGCACTCTCAGATGAGGTTTGGAGTCTTCCACGACATCGACGATGGCCTGCATCATCTGCCTCGGCCAGTGTCTCCCGGGTTTGGTTTGTGTTTCAACTGCTGCAAAGGTTAAGGGCCTCAAGCGGATCTGGTCGAGTGCAGCAGGGATCATAATGGAAAACGCTGTCCTCCGATCATTTTTGGTATCTGCTTAAGCGCTTGGAAAAACTCCGAAGCTCCCGCTTTCTCGGACTCGCACTGCGACTCACACTCTGTGCTCCCGAGGCCGTGGCCCAGCAGGCTGGGTTTCCACCCTCACCGTGCTGCGCGTCGCAGCAGAACCTGCGAAGGCACGGCGCCGCATTGTGGGAAAGCCGCCTACTGCTCCTGGCACGTCTGCATTCCTCCACGCGCGCACGCACCGAAGCCTCTAGGCCAGACTTGTAAAAACCGCATGCACATCTCATTCTACCTCTATATGTGTCGGCAAGCAAAGGGCAAGCGTCCATATCTGTCCAGGTATTTATATGATGCTAGTGCATACAAGTAAGCAAAGCCACAATAGCTATGTAATCAATCTAAATCTAAAGGTCGCCATCACACTGGTCAAGAATGGTAAACTCCTATCCCCACACGCGTCCATCATTGCTGCCTTTGGCGTCTCGATCGTCTCTCAAACCCTTGCACTAGGCCACGCTGGTAAACTTGACCAGACTGCATAAAACGGCTTGTACCAACAATCTTGAAGCGATGCTGGAATAGACGTCTCCTCTGTGGGCTCAGGACGGTTTGTAGCGACATGTAATGGACCAACAATGGACATAAGACAAGAACAGCGAGATTCGATAACCAACCTTTGGAGTCTGCAAGCATTCATCACAGCACATCTGAGTAGCAAGCTCACGGGAGAAGCCACCAACCCAGCACCTAAGCTGTGATTCAAGTCGAATTTGTCGAATTCGCAGCCAAGTCCAAGCGAGTTTTTACGACATGTCTCGGACAGTGACGTTGCCGGAGCCGCGGACACCGACACGGCCAAGACGGAGATGGTCCGGCAATGCCCTGTGCCCGACGAACCATTTCGCATGAGATGTCGTCGATTTCACCCCCCCCTTACAAACGAGGCTCTTGCTAAAGACTCTGCAATCACCGCCTGTAGACAGATCACAGCTCAATGCCAACTCTTCGGCTGCAGTGAAACATTCTCACTCGAGATGGCAAAAAAGTCAAAGCCTGCATGCACGGAGTGGTGGGGGCGGTCATCCTACAAGCGGGATGCTTGCCAGCATTCCTAGCGAACCTACTTCCATCATCAAGTCTGAGTCTCCTTGCGCAGGAAGAGCATTCAGCATCTGTTGTGTTGCATGTTGCAGGCTGGGGGAACGTGCGAGGATAGCATTTCAAGTCAAAGTTGGAGTCTCATTTCATGCGGTTCAGTTCAGGGAGTTGACACCTGGCCCAGTGTTCAGCGGCACGAACCATGCTGGGCCCCACCATGCTTCGTCTTGTCCTGAACCTCATGGCTGAGGCTACAACGCTGTGCGAAGGCATGGAATCAACGTCACCAGCCGCACTAGCCCGTGTGCTCTGCTGGTTCCAGTCTTTCCAGCCGGCCGAAGCTTGGAGTGGAAGCTCCAACAGAAAATGGCACAGCGTATCGATCCCTAAGTAGCTTCTGCTGTGAACAGTGACTGTCAACCAAGGGTTGGAAATGAGCCTCTGTGCTTGCAGCCTGCTTCGCAGGAAAGCCGAGATGCTCATGTCATGTGCGCGCGCTGTCGCGCTCCTTTGCTCAATGACCCTTGAGACAGAGTAAGGCAGTCAGTAGCACTGCCGCGAACTGCACCGAACGACACATCTGCAGCATTCACACGCCGGATTGGTTCAGCCATCGTTCTGCCTGAGTCGAGGCACGGGAAGGCTCTGGAGACAGGCCTGGCTTGACCTTCACAGAATTGAATCAAGCAGCTTTTGTCCTCCCGCCCGCCGCCCGCCGCGCGCTCAGCTGGGCTCCACACCCACGGAGTCCAGGCTTCAGCAATGGAGGTGTTTTCCTGCCGACCACAGCACAGTGGCCCACCGCGTCGAAGTCGAAAATGTGTCTAGCAAGAGCCTGCAAAACGAGGCAGAGTCCACGAAGCAGCATGGCCTTAGCAGGTTTAACTTCTCTGCGGATGTAAGGCTGGATCGACTGCCCAGCTTCTGCAAGTCACGAGTCTGAACATGTGCTGACGGACTAATGGGACGAACTGGGCAGGACTGGCGCTTTACATGCAAGCTTCGGTGACTTCCGCATTCCAGGTCTTCGATAGGAAGGCGTTTAGGCACTGCAAGGGTGTGCCAGAGGGGGTACCGAGTAGCCGCAGAAGCTTACCTTATCCCAAAACCTCTTCCATCACCCGCGTCACGGAGCTTCAGTTTGTTTAGCATCAATGGCGCGCGTTCGTTCGCGAATTTGGAACTAACCAGTAGTCTGCAGGCATTTCGCTAACAGGCGAGTTCGTAGAAGACGCGCACAAAGCCTTCGAGCCTCTTTGGCATCAGCTCTGAGAATCGTCCCTTTTGACAACAGGGCAATTCCACACGGTTCCTGCTAGTATCCTCTCACGTGTTGAGCAGAAGCCCGATGAACACGCTGGGCCAGCGGAAGGGTAGCCAAATTTGCAGAGTCGGGCCTCAACTTCTACTGCTGCATTTTGTTTCCTAGGCCCGTCGTCTGTAGGTCGAAACTCAAAGACTCCCGAGACCGGCTTTAGCGTCACCAGTCATCTCAGGGCTGAGCCGTGCGGTATGCCATCACGACGTGAATAGGGAACTGGGCACAGCATACAACGGAATGCCGAGACAAAGACAGACAACTCGTAAGCACATCTCTCGCTAGCTTCAAATCCCGACACTGTATCTGGCATTGTCCGTGTCCTGTACATGAAAAAACCATACTTTACATCCACTCACCACCCTGCAAGCGCCGTGACACTATGGTTGCACTGGCTCTGGACACGCTCCTCTTGATTTGTTCGTTGGGCTGCCTAAGATCCCCGACCATTCAGACCTGCATATCTTGAAGCAAAGAACAAGCAGCGGCGAACCGAATGTCGCTGGATCAAACTCGTCTCCTATGGCCCTCAGACTCTATTCAATCTAATTAGGGAACCAAACTCCTCACAGCGATGGAACCTCCTTCTCCCGTGACTTACATTCAGTACACCAGCCAGGCTTGATTCCTCTCTGCTTTGCAACGTCACACCCTTGCCTCCACTATTCGATCTCTTCGAAGAACCTCCTGACAGGCAGGGCATGGACGAACACTGCCCAAACAAGCCCGGAGAGCATCGCAAGTGGGGTGGTACATGGTGGTCCAGCAGGCCCTTCAGGGGCCAAGCGTCAAGTGGCAACAGTTGCAGGACCACCGGGCTTTTCGAACTGTTCAAGAGATTCGCCCTCCCGGTCCTACGCTTCGAGTCGGTGCTTCGAGCTGGGGCCAGACCAGTTTTGGAAAGATGGCTGTTGTGGGGAATAGAAATTTGGAGTTTCCTCCTCGACTAGCCTGTGTAACACGCTATGCCGCTATGCAGAACGTCCCGACTCTCTAGTCTCTGCCGCGCTGGCTCCTTGATGTCACCTTGAAGCCATTCTGCTTGCAGGCGGGAAAACATCAGGCGTGGCCTTGTCCGATCTTCACAAGGCTGCTTGCCTTCGCGTTCTTCTCTCATCTTGTCTCAGCTTCTCGCAGAAGGGCCATGAATTCCCTGACAAGAAGCAACGTTCAGTCAACTGCTTCGGGCACACAGGCTTCGTGGCTGCAGCCTGTCACCATGCTGGCTTTTCACCTCGGGCCGAAAGCGCAGACACATGCAGACACCGCAGATGCAGCAAGAGCACAGATTGCAGAAGCACCCTGAGGTTCAACTCCGGTGTGTTCGAAGGCCTCTGCCACCTCTCGGTCCGCCTCTGAAGCGGCACGACGTGGCTACCAAATCGCTTAGCAGGCCGCTTTCTGGCCACTGGCGGCTGGCCTCAGGCGACTGTGGCCTCGTCACTGCTTGCAGCAGCCTTGCAAGACCAGCCTGTTGCCGTTGAGCAGAAGAGATTCATGAAGCGAAATCCCTTGACAGACTTGACAGAGCATCTTTGTCCCCGCTTGACGCTCGCTCTTTCTTTCGCCAGGGTTAGGGACAGGGGTTGCCCCCTGCCCGCGCGCCGTCGGCGCCCCCGTACGTTGCGGAGGGCAGCTTGGGAAAAGAAAGACTTGCACCACCGAGGCAAAGCTTCTCGCTCGCTCTCTCTCTCTCTCTGTCTCTCTCTCTCTCTCTCTCTCTCTCTCTCTCTCTCTCTCTCTTTCGCCAGGGTTAGGGGCTAGGGGGAAACCTCTGTCTCTTTTTTTCGCCAGGGCTGTGGGCAGAGGTTGCCCTCTGCCCGCGTGCGTCAGCAGCGGGCAACCTCTGTCTCTCGCTCTCTCTCTCTCTCTCTACGGGCCATGGGGTCCGGGGTATGTCCGACCCCTTCCCCCGCACGCGAGCGCGCAGCCGCGGTCCTTGGCGGGAATGAATTTCCTGGTGGGGGGTTTGCCCCCCCAGGCTCGGTTTT